CACAGCAGAGAGCTACCCCCTCCAGCTATTCGTGTTCAGCACAGGAAGTTAACCCCTACACACACTTCTGTCTTCCTTAGTCTGCTAGTGAGTGTGTGAGACTGCCTGGGAGCTACCGGCCCTTGCCCTTATGAAACAGGGGGGGTGCCGCGGACAGGCAACCCTGCACACATTCCTCCCTCCCCATCTGCAAAGCACCATCAGTCTTATTCTCCGATTTCAGAAGCTAAACACTGCTCCTACCGGGCCTGGAACCACGCTGCTGATGCAAGTCTGCCCGCCTTCCACTTTTTACACAGCAGGGCTGGGAGGAAACACTAGCAAAAGGAAGCTTCTCTATGTTTCAGGCCGGGTCCTGGGTTTGGTACATAAGTCATCAGTGTAGTTGCCAGGCCAAATTCTACTGGGGTGCAAGTCGAGCCAGCCCGAGAGTGCAGGGGATCTGCAACGTGCTTTGGCCGATGGTTCTGTGCAAGTGGCTCTTATGCTAATGCAGTGCCTGTGGAAAATTGTAGCTTCTCCACTTTTCAAGGTGCCCTCCCCCAGCTTTTGCTAAGCAGTTGGGTCTCTGCCTGCCCTTGCTGCTGTATGGTGGCAAAAGATGGGCCGAGGGTAGCGTTCGCACCGGAAAAGCCCTTTTCTCGGCTTAATTTGTACGGTAGTGTCTGGTCTAAGTTTAGGAGCAGGATGTCAAGGAGTCAGGCCATTTCTGTGATTAGCTCTCACACCCTGACCTGCCCCACGGCATTAGTCATAGGTGTTAAAAACCATCTCTATGCACTCAGATAAAAATCTCTTCCCCTGATGTCTGGGCTCTCAACCCTTGGGCTGTTAGAACATGACTAGATCTCTGAGGCAGACCAGATGAGTCCCTCCTTACCATAATAGATGAGCATCTCACAACCTTTACAGTCTTTATCCTCCCACCTGCCCTGGGCGGCAGAGCTATTATCACTTTCACAGATGGGGAAACTGAGGCACAGAGGGGCTAAGTGATTCACACAAGGAGCCTATGGCAGAGCAGGGTCTCGCATCCTAGGCTACTGCCCTAACCACTGGACCATCCTTCCTCCCAAGTCTCCACTGGCTCTAGACTCTTCCATCACAGCCACGGAAAGAACAAAAGACAATTTATTTAGATAAAACCTTCCAAACCTCCTTTGTCCATGAGAACGAAGCAAACTCTGGCCTAAGCCTCCTCCTGGTTCCCTGCGTGCCCTTCCTGCCCTTTGTTTCCTGCAGAATCTGCAACACTTTTACTTTTTTGGTTTTGTTTTTTTTTAAATGCGGTTTCTCGCTCTCTCCTTTTGGAGGTGTCCCCAGCGCCCGGGCAGGCCCTGCTAGCCCATTAATGGGCCTCTATCTGCCCCAGCCACTGCAAAGGTGCCTGTTGCAATCCTCCATCCCGCTCACCTCTGCAAAATGTTAACGCCAAGGTCTCATTGTGGTGACTTCACTGTAGTGTGACCAGATGTCCGATATTAGGGGCTTTGTCTTGTATAGGCAACCTGTTACCCTTCTCCCCCCCCCACATCCTGATTTTTCACCCTTGCAGCCTGGTCATCCTACTTCACTGCCACGGAAGGGCACAAACGCTCAGCGAGAGTCCGAAGTCTTTGGGGAAACACCTCATCTCACCTCTCCTTCCTGCAAAAATAGGCTCTTGCCTTAGTCCCCTCCTGCCTCCCTACACGGGATTTCTTTGCCCACGGACCCTTAGCAACTCTCTGTCTTTGCTAGTCTCTCATCTCCTGTGGGGCCTGGGGCTCTTTGTTTAAAAAAAAATAAAGTAAGTAGTTCAATGACTCTATTAGCCGGAAGAAAGACACTTGTTCCGTTCTCTGCTGTCATGTTTGTGTATCTCAGCAGGGAGCGCTCCAGTGGAGTCAGTCAGCGCTTAATGGGATCTGCACCTTTAGATCCGAACGCTTTGTATTGAAAAGCACCATGACTCCTGCCCCTTCCTCTGCATGGCTTTTGTCAACTTAAGCCTAGAAGAGCCCGTTGTGATCTCTAGTCTGAGCTCTGCATGCAGGCCGGAGAATGTCACCCAGTGGTTCCTGTATCAACCCGTGCCCTCTAGCGGAGCCCCTTCTGCGGGTATCTCTGGGCAAGCGGCTGGCAGATAATTAATTGCTGTTGGTTAATTTCCACCATACCGTTCAGCACTGCATGAAATACAAACATCAGCAACAGCACTGAGACCATTTCAGGTGCAATTACCTTAGCTACCCCCACCTCATTGTCGCACAGGGGCAAGGGCGGCGGGTATCGTAACTAAACCTCCCCTACCCCGGGCTGTGGTTCTGCCCCGTGGACCCACCCTCACTCCCCTGAAGCCAGCTGGAACTCCGGTTGGGGCTTGGGGTGGCTGGGGAGGGCTGGCTAGGGGCAGGGGAGCTGGGGCTCCTCCAGGCACAGGAGGGGGCTCACTCTAGCTATGGGGGGGCTTGGGCAGAAGGGGCAGGGCCGGGGGCCTAGCCTCCCCTACAGAGGGTTCACCCACCGTCCATGTACAGGGGTCAATATTCCGAATGAGAAAGAGGGAAGACAAGCCAGAGGAAGGATGAGAAAAAACTTACATGTGTGTTCATTCAAACATTGCTCCTGCTGGTAGAAGCAGGGTCCAATGCTGCGCACTGCAGCCGGGGGGCAGAGGGCTAGGAAGGGTGTGATGTTCCCCTCTGGTGTTATCTGGACCGGTGATCTGCTAGGCCACTCCAAGCCTTGACTCTGGAAGCCAGCCTGACCCTGCTCTGCTGTGAGAACCCCGACTCCTGGGCTGTTCACGTACAGCCTCGGGCATGTAAGCTGCACTTTGGATTGTGCAACTGAATGACACTAGCCAATATCTCCCAGACACAACCCTAGGAACCCCCGTCTGGCAGTGTCCAGTTATGCCCCCTGGATGCTGCAAGCTTATATAAGTTTGTCAATTTAACAAAGAAATTGATCTGTACCAGGCTTGTTATCCCAAGGGCAGCCTCTGACATACTTCAAATCAAACGCACTGCTTCAGGTAGAAAAAACACACACATTTATTAACTATAAAGATAGATTTGAAGTGATTATAAGTAAAGGATAACAAGTCAGATCTGGTCAAATGAAATAAAAGCAAAACACATTCTAAGCTGAGCTGAACACTTTCAATGTCCTTACAAACTTAGATGCTTCTCACCGCAGGCTCGCTGGTTACTTTGCAGCCAGGCTCTCGCCTTTGATCAGCGCTTCAGTCGCTTGGTGGTGATGTCTGTAGATGTAGGTGGAAGAGAGAGAGCATGGCAAACGTCTCTTCCTTTTATCACGCCCTTTTTTCCCTCTTGGCTTTGTCCCCCCCGCTCCCCCTTCAGAGTCAGGTGAGCATTACCTCATCGCAGTCCCAAACTGCCCAAAAGAAGGGGGTGACTCCCTCGAGGGTCTAACAGATTCTTTTGTTGCTGCCTAAGGCAGTGTCCATTGTTCCTGTGAGGCTGGGCTGGGTTTGTCCTATCCATCCCCTGACGAGGTGTGAACTGCCCCTCTGCTCTTGGAGAGTTTTTGCCTGGGCTTGCGTTAAGCCATGAGGATACATTTTCAGCCTCATAACTATATACATGAAATTATAACCTACAACCTTACTAAAACGATTACTATAACATCACTGTAACAGCAATGCTCAGTGCATTATGAGCCTCCCGAAGACACCTGACGTGACAAACTTTGCATTGGATACCACACCATCATTTTATAAAGATGAATGTGGGGGTGTAGGGTGTCCCCCCGAGGTACAGAGCGTCAAAAAGGGACCTTAGAGGGAAAAGGGGCAGGCTCTGAGCTCCGTTTGCTTGCTTCAGAAACTGTTTGGAAGCAGCCAGCACACTTGGCATCAGGAAAACTAGAGTTCAGTCCATTTGGGGGCAGAGAGGGGGTGTCACTTCTCAGCCCAGGAGTGATGGAAGCCGGGACACTGGTAGTGCTGTGTGGCCGTACTGTGCCCTTCAGAGTGTTTTCCTGACAGGCATGAAGGGAGCCTCTCCGCAGGCCTGTGGGGTGAGTATCAGTCTCCCTCTTTTACAAACGGGGAGGTGCTGGAGCCCCAGAGAAGGGAAACAATTCGCCTAAGGTCATGAAGCAAGTCAGTGGGAGAATCCAGAGAGGAACCCAGGAGTCCGGAGCCCCAGGCCTGTGCTCTAGCTACTGATCCTGCCCCCCCGGGGGTTGCATTTTTGCAGTGTTGCCCAAATTGTTGGTGGGAGCGGTGGGGATTGAATCGGGCTCTGAGTACAGCAGCAGGGCCTGCTCTCAGCTCCCATTTGAATGCCTAATTATTATCCAGCATTAGCTGAGTAGGATTCTAGCTCGTTTTCCCTGAGCGCTGTGCACAAGGATCCCCCCCACCCCAGCCCTTTATAGCTCCCATTTTAAAACCAGGCCATGTCCCTCCCCGGCAGCTTTCCCCACAGCTCTCACGTTCTTCGGGGAAAACTCTGCACCGGCCTGGGTTGCAAAGGTAGGCTCCAGTCTTTGGAAGGGCTGTGCCCCTATATAGCCCGCAGGTAGCGGGCAGAGGGGGGAGGGTGGTGCCCCTACAGAACCCGCAGGGAGCAGACGGAGGAGGGAGGGCGGTGCCCCTAGACAGCCCACAGATAGCGGGCAGCGGAGGGAGGGCGGTGCCCCTATAGAGCCCATAGGAAGTGGGCGGTGGAGCGGTGGGTGCTGCCCCATAGGGCCCACAGCAGGTAGCGGGCAGCGGAGGGAGGGTGGTGCCCCATAGAGCCCGCAGGGAGGGTTGTGCCCCGTGGGGAGCGGAGGGTGGAGGGAGGGCGGTGCCCCTGTGGAGCCTGCAGGCGGGGGGGGGGCAATGCCCCTATAGCTGTTGCCGAGGAAAGGGCAGGGCCCCTATGGACCCAGCAGGTTTTGGGGGGAGGGAGGGGGGCTGGCTGCGCGGTCCCGCGGGGGGCGTGGCTTGGCGGGTGCGCGCGGGTGGGCGGGGCCTGGCCGGGCGCTGGAGCCGAGCGGCGCGGCGCGGCGGGGCGCGCGGAGGAGCCGGTCCGGAGCCATGGCCCTGCTGGCCGCGCGCGCCGACTACCTGGCGCCCTGGTGGGCCGCCTGGCTGCACCGCTTCCCGCACGTCAACCTGCGGCTG